CTCCCCCCCCTTACAGACAATAAGTGACGACTGCTTTCTTATGTGTTACCAGGAACTCAACTTTTCTTTGTTATTTTATCTGGAATTCGTTATCCATGTGAACTATCAAGTTTAATAGCGCTAATGGGCTAAAAGAACGTTTATTATTTTTTTAACCTTTGTCTTCACTGCGAATCACCCTGGTTTTTTGGTTTGTGGTGTCATGTATTTTTATTTCAACTCTGTTAAAAGACTTCGCAATTTTCTTCGGTTTCGCATTCAGTAAACTACCCACCAATTGTAACCTTCAAAGTTTACTAGTGTAGCGGAGAAGACAATCCGAACGCACAATATAAATCACGGTTTAATCAAATGAAATACGTAAACAAAATTACAAACGGAAATAAGGAGATCGGTGTGAAATCACAGATGAAGAGTAAAGTTGAAGATAGCGTAGTTACGATTGATCGTCACGTTGTAGCTGAATTCGTGTGGTTCGAACTAAAAGAAAATGCAGCAGAAACTAAACTAAGAAAATATCCTTGAGAAATGTAACACTAGCCTAATTAACAATGAAACGATTATAAAGTGAACGGAAAGCGAGAAATAAATCGATGTACGTATCCAGAAAAAAAAAAAAAAGAAAACATCTTAAATGTGAAATAAAGAACAACTTACTTTGGTCTAGCTCCTAATGATTATAGGTAAATCGCCGATAGCGGATCGCACATGAATAGCAGACAAAATTGGTGGCGTCGACAGCAACTTATAGCGATGCAATATGAAATACAGTATCTGGTACATGTGCTTAAATGAAACTGATTGAAATAGAAACTTATTAAGTAATAATTATTAACCAACGAAGAAATAATAAACCGGAACAAACCTAACAGAAAAGTACACAAGTTACGCGTTTCGAAACTAACACCAATGAGTGGGTGTCCTGAGTGGCTACGCCAGCATCGTATGCGTTTGGATTGGCAAACCATAATCAAATCGTGTTATGACAATATGGCCTGGGAAAAGGTGAAGCGTGGCTGGGAAAAAGCTTACATGACCAACGCCTCCGCAAGTGAGATAATATTTCAGGACATCAGACCTGCAGAGGGGTATATTAAGATTTTCATCCAATCAAAAACGTCCGACAATAAAGCGAAAGCAATTGTTGGAGAAACCACGCCCATCAAGCATTGCGGTCATCGTTTTTGATCACGGCAATGGAACCAATGAATCTATCAGATGTCAATAGGACATGTCCCAAGGGAAATGTCAGAAGAAGGTCTTTTAGGCCCTCTAGATGGTTACTTGGTAAAGCCCCTTCAGGGCGGACGACTTTTCGAGGTAAACGCAACAGCAGCGGGGATGAACCAGTCATTTGCCGGTAGGCGACTTGGGAGCCGTTGCCGAGAACGATTTGGAGAAGTAACTGTGTCGCTTTATGCATTTTTCGACTGATTGTCATTAAACCAAACGTGAAGTAACCACAACAACCAATCAGATGAAGCGAAAATTTCAAGAGCAGCCAAAGAGAGCTCAATGCAAAAACACGTAAACAGCTTCAAGCGTAGGAAAACGCGAGTGTCCAATTCCCGATTGGTTCGAGTCTTGAATATTATTCTCAGAAAGGGCGCGAGTTCCCTGGACCAATCACAAAGCGAAGATCAAGGGCTTCTTGGAGCTACCTCAAAGTATGTCTTAATTGGTAGGAACTTTAACCCTTCATCTCTTTCCAATAGCGCATGCGTACCACAAAAGGACTGGTTGAGGTTTAACTTTAGAAGCATTAGTTTAGCTGAAGCACGAAAAATAAGTTATTTGCGCTTTAACTTCAGACACAAGGTGAGGTTTAAAGACAAAGTTTACTTAAAACTCAGATAAATTGATGGCTAAACAGCAAAAGAAACAATATTATCAAAGAATGACGGGCAAATTAATGCTGCAATTAGATCCGTGCCCAAGAAAGTTAAAACGTTTAACTACGCGTCAAAATTCCGGCCAAAATTCATGCTGTAAAACAGGAGCGAAATAACTAATCTAGGTAATTGCGAGACAAAAAGAAAGGTAAAACTCAGTAATATCTTAAAAACCTTGAAACACGGTAAATCAGCGGCTAAAACCAAAAAGCAAAACCAAGGAAACCTCGAATAACCTTCAACACTCACTTGAAAATTGCGCTCCCGCGCTCTGACTGCACAATGTCTGTCTTTCGTTTGCGTTTTCATCTCATGTTGGGTGTCTAAGTAAAAATATCTGTTCAACTGTAACAGTTCTATAGGGACGACAGAGCTTGGGGACGCAGGGGAGGGAGGGGGGGGGGCTAAATATAAGTTTGCTATAGTAGAGGTACGTATGAAGAATATAAGAGAAAAGTAAAGAAACGAAGCCTGCCAATCAAAGCGATCAGTCAAATCGCCACAAGCCCGAACACGCAAGTGACTTGAAAGCAAACTTAATTTGGTTTTATTAACTAAATTTATAGAATATAACTTGACCACCATTAAGAGTTTCTAAAGCTGACATT